CACGTAACCAAAACCACGGAGTTTCAAGGAGACGCAACTTTCCCTCCTTGCTTGGTTCTAATCGACTGCTGACTGTCAGATCATGTTTTCCTTTTTGCCAAGGAGGCCAAAGGACGAAGATTGACTGCTCTTCCCGAAGTTAACTGTGGACGCACGTTAACTTCCAACTTTCCCCCTCCTCCTCTCTCCCTCTGCTCAGAAGGAAGACTTAAACAAAGTAAAACTCATCCTCTTGTTTTTCTTTTTATTTCTCTCTTAGAAATAGTCCGGGCAGGGTAGAGGACATTTTATTGCGATTAGAGTCGCCATTTAGAGTCTAATGTGTTCTGAATTGTATGCGCATGACATTGTTTTGAAACTTGCTGGTACTTTTGGAGACCACTGTGTCTCGCAAGTGTGTCTTTACCGTGCGAACACCCGCTATAATAACCTTATGGTGAAAATCAACCATTTTCTTTGTCTTAAACTTCATGTTTTACTGGTTTGCCACCAAAAGGGTTTATGATCCTTTGTGTGGTCTGAGATTTACAACCTTGCTGGGGGAAGGTTTATGACTGCCCGTGTCCCGCTGAGCTACAGTTTGGAAGGGGCGCTCCCAAAGCTTCGTTCAACACCATATTCTCTTGTCATATTATCACTTTGGCCATAACTGCTGTTTTGTTTTATTTTGTTTAGTTAGATATTTTGCCCTTTTTGTGTAGAACTTTGCATGTTTGAGTAGGTGAAGATTATTAAATCAGAAGAGCGGATTGTATCAGGCTGTGATTTAAGAAAGAGAAGGCGTTTTGTGTTTATTTTGTGCAACTGTGATTTGTCAGTCAAAATAAGGTTAAAGTTCCTCAGTTTTCGGCAGAAACGGTTGATTAAACAGTGACATCTCTGGTAATAGTTATCAATTATTACTGGGTATTTAACGGTTGTAATTATCAGAGGCGTTGAGCCACAATTACAACACCAGAAGACATCTCTGGTCTCGATTCATAAATGAGGATTTTGGTTAAGAAATTAATTTTGTCAAATTATGATTGTTAATTATAATTCTTGATAAATATTAATTAATCAATAATCATAATTCCAACAGATTACACAAGGTAAAACAATTAATTATTAAATTTTTACTACAGAAATAAACTGAAAACAACAGTATTTTAAAACGTTTTTACTTATTAATAGTTATGTAGTTATTGTGTCACTTAAGTCGGGCCTATGACTGATTTAGTCATAAAATGCGTCTAAACCCAAATAATGAACCTTGTTGGGCCAACATATTATCAGCCAGCTTGAAAGATAACTGATTTTAAGTTGAATCTTCGGCCCCTTACAGAAGCGGTTCATCTGCTAGTGAAACTTTAGGCCTTAACACTTCTAATTTAGTCCTGTCCTTGTTCTCTTTCCTGTTTTTGTTAAACCTACAGGGCCTTACAAAAGTATTCATATCTCTTAAACGAATATGCAAACTTAATTTAAAACCATTACAAGGATTTTTATCCATTTAATTTATTGGGATCTCATGTGATAGGCCAACATAATTTGCTGCGTATCTTGAAAGTAAAATTCAAAAAATGATGTGGTTTTCAAAAGAAGTTTGAAAGTGTGACACGTGATTGTGTTCGCTCCCCTTTACTTTGATACTCCTAAATAAAATTGGACCAAGCAGTTGCTATCAGTGGGGAATCTAATTGGAGTCTTTCTGTGTGTAATGTAACCTCAGTATAAACCCAGCTGTTCTCTGAAGGCCTCAGAGGGTTGCTGTTCTTAAGAAGGTAAGCTGGCCTGAGATGTTGGGAAGATCTGTTGGTGCTTTCCATTTATACTCTGAATTTCTGAAATCTGAACCTGAACGGCCCCAAAAGTCTGAATAATGTGTCGGAAAGTGTGGGCAACATGGCCATACCTGAATTTCCCATTCAAATGGCTGCTACTCGCATCAACAGTAGTAAAACATTTGCTTCTTTGTTTTTATTATTTATGTAACATTTAGACATTTGTACATTCGTACTACTTTTCAGTGTTTATAAGATGAGATGTTTCGATGCTGTTTATTTGCATTAAATACCGTGTAGAACAGTGTTATTGTCATTGTTTTAACAGTGGCCATGTGAGAGCAATGAAGAATACAAGCGTCCCTGTTTCTTTCGATTTTCACATTTGCCGGAAACTAGAACGCTATCACCTCAGAGCTTAAGTCGCTTTTAAGACTTTCCAGTTCCGAGGTAAATGGAAATCAGGACATGAGCTGAACGGAAACAGGAAGAAAACCTGCAAAAGACTTGAGACAGCAGTAACACCGATATAAACACACAGCCTGAGCCACAACGTAATGCTTTACATCAAACATATTCATATCTTAGAATGGCCCTTTCAAAGTCCACACCTACATCCAATATAACCTTTGACAAGACTTGGAAGTACAGCTCACACATACTCTTCATCCAGTCTGATTGAGCTTGAGGATATTTTGCAAAGCAAATTGTACACAAATTGGACCCTTTTTGAGTCTCTAACAGGTAGAGGCCAAGCCTAAAACACCAAAAGCTAAATGTGTAGGAAAAGTATTGACTTGGGGGCTGAATACAAATGCATGCCGCACTTTTTAGATTGTTATTGTTGGGTCGGAAAATACTAAAGACTGTTTCTTTTTGTTTCCCTTTATAATTCTGCACTATGTTGTGTTGGTCTGTCAGTAAAATCCACTACAAATTGATGTAGTTGTAACGTGACAAATAAAAAAGGTAATTTAGACTACCAACGTCTTAAGAAAGGCTTTGAAAGACCTACAGAAAGCCTGGAGAACTATTGATCTTGACCACGTTACAGGATTACAACACAATCTGACTGCTTGGAGGTAAAACAAATTAGTGGGTGGTTTTAAACTTTTGCACAGTGCTGTTGTTTGTAGCTCTTTATAACTGTTGATAAAAACTGCTTATTGCTGACATCCTTGCCTCTGTTTGACATTGCAGCACGGAGGACACTTGCAGGGTACCACCAACATGCTTCCCATACCCCTTCAGCTCCAACGGAAACCCCCACCTCCACCAGCACCCCCACAACCACCAGCACCAACACCAGCACCAGCCAGGTCAGAAGCAGCTGGAGTCCCTCATCCTGCGTGACGTTCCTCCATATCAGACCAGCGTTGGCGGCGGTGGGGGCAGTGGTGGAGCAGGAATGGGTGTGGGTATGGGAGGGAGTGACGGGATTGTGGCCAGGAGCTGGGCAGGAGGAGGAGAGGCTGTGAGGATCTTGGCGAGACGTGTCACCCCAGATGGGAAGGTGCAGTACCTGGTGGAGTGGGACAACGTGGGTCTGTACTGAGTGGGAGAACAGGACTGTGGTGTATTTAATGTGTGGCCGTGTGTAAAGAACAAACAAAAAATGAAAACATGGTACAGATGGAGGTTTTCTCTCATAGTACCACCTCAGTTCGACATCATTATAACCTCAGTACTACGTGTTCCTCTTTGCTGGTGTTCTTCTGATATTTGTACTGTTAACTTTGAAATATGCCTTTGCATTTATCATGTTTTACAGTGATTATAGAAACTACTTCAATTTCCAGATAATTTATCAGTGTTTCACCCTTATTAGGAAAAACAGTTGTAAGGGTTTATGTACTGTATATACTCTGCTGCAGGTATACAAGGTACTAGAAGAACACTTTCTGTTTCTTTTGTATTTTACAGTTTTTAATTTAAAATGTACCTGAGAAATGTTTATTTTCCTGCTTGATTATAGATACTTGATCCCAAATCGGGAAAATATTGGGACTGTGTGAAAATACAAATAAAATAATCAAAAGTGATTCTTTACTAAATGTGACGTCTATTATATTTTCTTTATCATAACACCCAAAAATTTTGGAAAATCCAAATTTCAATTTGAGCACACTTATTCAATGGGGGAATAAATGCATATTTTTAAGGAAATCACGTCATAATTATTAGTACCTTATAAAAAATGAATGGAGGTGTACTCCTAAACTTTCCTTCTTAATGTGTACAAAGTTTAATGAGTAATCCACGATTTCAGTTTTCTCCTGAGACATAAATATAAAAATTTTTCTTACCCACAGGAAAGACAAAATACTATGCTATTCAAGTAAGGCAAATTAATGCTGATCTTCATAAATTATGAAATGTCTTCAAGATAACAGTCACTGGCCCAAAACTGGCGCATATCTACATTCATAGCAATAATGAAAAACTGTTAAGACAACTGCAACTTGCTTCTACACATGGTGTTTAGGATGAGAAGGGGAGTAAAGTAATCTCCAAACCTCACAGTTAAAGAAATGCAGCATCTTGTAGTCACTAAGTCTCCATAGCAACTATTAGACTGTCGACATGCCAACCAGTTAATTAGGAAGCATGCCAAAAGCCTTTTCTGCCCTACCATCACAAATGAAAACATGAGGAGTTTGCAGAATACTTTTGGGACTGTAAATGAAACAGTGTGCTTTGGTCAGATCAGACTAAAATTGAGCTTTTCCAAACCACATGGACCAAGCAATACAGAACGGTTTCACCCAACAAAAAATTTACTTTTTCCATGCCCATAACATTGCCCAGACCTAAATGATCCAGAGCAATTGCCCAAAGAGGAATGGTCAGAGTTCCCTCTCTGTATGCCCCAACCTTGTGAAATGTTATAGGTGAAGATTAAGTGTGTTCCTCAGGGAACAGGTGGTTCTTCAAAGTATTAACTGTAAATGTGCCAATCAAAAAATACTAATATTTCTTAGAGTGAGATTTTTCCCTCTGATTAAATGAACCCAAATTAAAGGCAGGATGTTTTCTAAAAAAATCTGGGGGAGATTATGCTACTGTAATAAAAGAGGAATTTATTTTAAGGCTATTTATAAATCTATACCAGGTGTGCCAATAATTATAGAGGTTTTCCAATTTGTGTGCACAAACTTCAGTGACATTGGTTTCCAGCGCTCACTATACTAACTATAAATATATAGAAACTTTAGAAGAAATAAAACTAATAAAGAAGGGGCGCAGAGGTTAGCGCGCGACCACATATAGAGGCTATAGTCCTCAAAGCTGCCATCCCGGGTTCGAGTCCCGGACCTGGCGACCTTTGCCAAATGTCTCCCCCTCTCTTTGCCCCTCCTTCCTGTCTGCCTACTGTCAAAAATAAACGCCTCTAAGGCCGAAAAAATAAAAAAAAAACAGAAAAACTAATAAAGAAGCAGCATGTACATGTATGGGTATGTACAGCCAATTTTTTTTTTTTTATTTTCTGTATATGAACAGAAAAGAAAGGCAGGTTGTGGTAGTGCAAATACTTATTTGTTTCCAGCAGAGTACCTGACTACTCAAGCTGTTTGGTCTTCATTGTGTTCATCAGAGAGACAGCCTGGGGGAAGAAACTGTCTCTTTGATGTTTTTACAAATAGGCTTTGTTGTGCCGATCTGAAGGTAAAAGTCTGAACAGTTTGTGGCCAGGATGTGTGGGCCTTTTCCTGACTCCAGACCTGTACAAGACCTGGATTGAGGGAAGGTTCAGCCCTGGTGATCCTTTCTGGAGATCTGATTGCTCCATGCGATCTGGATCTGTCCTGTTTTGGGGATGAGCCAAACCACACAGTGATGGATGAAGGGAGGACAGACTGAATAATGGCTATGTAGAAGATGACCAGCGGCTCCGATGGATGGTTGTCCTTTGAGTTGCTGCAGGAAGTACAGTTTCTTCTGGGCCACACACAGTTTCTATGTGTGAGGACCACTTTAGGTGGTTACGAGGATGTGGTCCACAGCAGACATTGTGGTGTTGAGGACGGTGAGGGGAGGAAGTGTGGGGGGAGTTCTCCGGAAGTCGACTGTCATTTCTTGTTCGGGTTAAGCTCCAGGTGGTTCAGACCACACCAGTTGACCAGCCGATCCACCTCCTGTCTGCATGCAGACTTGTCACTGTCTGATCCAGGACACTGACAGTGGTGTCATCTGCAAACTTCAAGGGTTTCACAGACGGGTCCATCAAGAATTTCTTTCTATATTGAACCATCAATATTTTTTTCGATTCTGAGTAGTTTCCCTGTCCCAGACAATAAAAACAATTCCCACAGCATTATGCTGCCACCACCATGCTTTATTATGAATCGTGTTTTATACATTATCAGATGTGTTGGATTTGCTCAGCTTCTTCCACATGATGATTGGTTTTTGAGGAAGTTTGAGGGGTCAGAGAAGACTGATCCTTAGGTTTGGCTTGCATATTTTATATTTATAATAAATATGTTGGCCTCAAATGAAGGAATCTGGCTGCTGTTGACAAAACTACACATCACTACTCTCATTTTATACAGAGGTACTAATCAATGATTTTTCGCAGGAGCATCACTGAAGATCAGCAGTGTTTACAGACAGGAGGAAAAATTAAAGCCAAAAAATAAAAAAAATAATAATTTGCCATGATTGCAATGATTTGTCAGAAATGATCAACTATAGTACATACAAACACATATTAAAGGAAAGAAATGTTTATGTATTGTTTATTGAGTAAAAAATAAACTAATATATTCACATTGTAATTATGTATTAGATCTACATGTCCAAAGTTAGTTCTACAGTAGTGACGGACTAAGAAAACAAACAGGCCTCATTTCTGCAATGAAGTTACGGTACCACACTTCTGGGTCCTAAACTCCTGGGTCACATTGGATGCAGAACATACAGAACTTACTCCATGATTTCCACAACCAGAAAGTAGGTGAGTTTATGAACATAAAAACTCCAAACCATCACACCAATGAAAACTTTTTGGTCTACTTCCAACAATCCCCACTATTGTTCTTGAAAATTAAAATTAAATCCAACTGTGAACAGCCTTGTAAATTATTCAGATGGGAATGAAAAACTGCCAAGTTTGCCCTGAAGGAGGGTTTAGCTACTTTGTGTGCGGCTGAGAATTTACGGCTGCTGCCAGCAGAAGAAGACAGATGTTCATCTTGTGTTTGTGCCAGCTCCCGAGAAAACTGGATGGGCCAAAAAATGAAAACTCAGACAAATAACACAACATTTCTGTTTTGTTTCTGGGATGCATCACTGCAGAAATGTTGCTGCCCTTTCTTTCCTTTTGATGTGAAAACCTGTACCCATGAGTTGCAGTGACATTTTCTTGAATGCAGCTAAAAACTAAAGATAAAATCTCATAATGAATAAATATATCTTAGGTACTTGTGTCATGAAACATTTTTCAAGATATTTTTACTTGGAGTGAAAATAATGGAATAAATCATAAATGGCTGAATTGATGACTTGCCCCTTTTAATTTCTGTGGGTTAAAATGTATTTCTGCTACATTGTTTTATCCCTATTTTCTTTATGGCAGGTTTTAATGTCAGAGCTACACATTGTGGCAGATTTCTTTGCTTTTTTGTACCTCCAAATGTTTCTACCCTACCTTGAATCAAATGGCTAAATTTCCTCCTCAGTATGCAGTCAAGTTCTCCAGAGTCCTGCTAATTACCTAATATTTTGATTTAGGTGTGTTGAAGCAGAGACACATTTAAAAGATGCAGGACACCGGCCCTTGCCATCTGAGCCAAAACCTCAAGTTGAAAGAACACAAAAGCCACAAAAAAATACATTTAGCCAAGTTAAAGGAATAGGTGTTCCGAAGCCTGCCTTTGAGTAAAAAATCGTTGAATTTACTTTTAAATTAAAGTGAAGGCACAAAGCAAAATTAATAGAAGAAAAATACTTTGGGTTGTACCTAATAGTTTCCATTTTAAGAACATTTTATTTTGTCTGTTAAAATCTGGGCCTAAAATGTTTTTAAAGGGTTCCATCGGCATAAACTGCCTCTGTTGGAGTGTCCGATTTGTATCATTCTTGAACTGTGATTCGGACCACACAAAATCATTCCAAGGGCTGCTAATGGCCCCTGGGCCACATTTTAGACGCCCCTGATATAAACTCATTGATTTTAATGCATCATTCTGTAATACAAGAGCGGTAGACATTTTATGTTATCAGAACCACTTTTCAGAAGATTGCTTGGAATGGTAGTGGGTGCTTTAGTTCTTATATTTTCTTTGCCAATAGTGGGCATATCACATTGGTGTATTATTTGTTTATTTACTGAAGACTAAATTAAACACACTCGTGTTGCAGTATGTACACCTTGTCTGTTGGAATTTCTTTTTCATATTTTTAGTATTGAACTCCACTGCTTATAAATAAGCTCTGCTTGCGGTGGCTAGGTTTTACCACTAGATGGAGGCCACACTTCGACATCTATACCAAAGACAGCCACTTCTTTGTGCTGCATTCATGTGTTCCTGTGAAATTATGATGTTCCAAGAAAAACAGAAAATTGAGATCTTTTTAAACTTTAAGAGGTTAAATACTAGGCTAATATTATTTCTTCTTTACTCTCTGAAAAGGTTAGACTGACAGTTAAACTCATCCAGAAATATTACATGTTTTCCAAACCTGTAGCTTGGGCATGAGACGTCATTGTCAAGCTGAAAGTGATGCTCAATTGCACATGACACATTACTGAGAAATTGACATCTTTGTTGTGGAATAGTTACCACTGCTTTTGGCTTTTGTTTCAATAAATTGTTTGAGATCAGGAAATCACCAGTGCATGCTTCTACCTGAATGCCATACTATCATGACATAATGTGGCTGTAGCATGGATTTTTTTATGTTTTCCGTTCACAAGTCAACTCACTGCCTGGGTGCTAGATGACCTGCAAGGGTACCTGACCACACCACCAACGTGTCTTAAACTAGTATAAAAATCACATCCCGCTCTTCTTGAAGTGTGGCCCGCAGGTCGTGGAGGTTCTGGGGTATGGAGTTATAAGCCTCTAGATGGAGATTCAGCATCTGATCCCATAATTTTCTATGGGATTTGGGTCTGAAGAACATCTAGGCCACTCCATTCGAGGTACTCCTGTCTCCAGCAGCCGTTCCCTAATGTTGCGACTTTGATGAACTGGAGCATTGTCGTCCATTAAGATAATATTAGGCCTGTGTTGTCCATGCAGGGACACATTGACGGGATTAATGATGTTATTCAGGTAGTATGGACTTGTCACTATACTATTCGCAACACATAGGGTGCTTTGTATGGACTAGACCCACCTGCCCCACACTGTAACACCACTACCACCAAAGGCTCGTCTGGTGACAATATTGGCTGATGCATCGTTGGTGGCCATCATTTCTGCGTGACGTGAATTGACTTTCATCAGAGAACAGCAGTCAGGTCCACTGGGCCCACATCTATGGTAAATGCTCCATGGCCCATGCAAGAAGATGATGCTTGTGCCTGGTGGTGTGGTCAGGTAGCCTTGCTTGTCATCTAGCACACAGACCCCGCTGATGTAAATAGTTCTGAATGGTCTAATGTGACACTTGGGGAATCTCACCTTCCTTAATTGTGCCTGGTGTAGAGTTTCATCCATCATCCAGCTCTGCAGGGTACTGTTCACATCGAAGCAGTCATCAGTGTGGGATGTTGTCAAAGGACTGCACTTCAATGCCTTTCTATGACTCTTCCAGTCTCTCTGTATCTCTGTTGCAACCTGCTGATGACCCTCTAAGCTCAGTGGCCACTCCCATCTGAGAACATCCTGTCTGAAGCCTCACAATGGTGAGGTTCTGTTTACCAGTTGTTAGGTGGTCTTAGTCTGATGATGTCAAAATATGGACAGCATGATGAGGAGGATGTTTAAGTACCAATTCTGATTAAACCAGGAATTTATTGATTGATTTATGAATCAAACACCTGTTCTAAATTTTGTCATTAAGCTCCTTGTTGGAGAACAGCAAGTTGTGCAAAAAGTACTGAAACAATCAGACATGTGCACTCAAAGGTTTAAAGAAGGTCACATTCAATTCCCCTTTAAAGGTGTATTACATTTTAGGTTCATTCTGAAATTTTGCCCTAAATCCAAATATCCCTAACTTATAGTGTATATCCTTTGATTTTTATATATTATCTTACTTGTATCGCGAATTCTATAAAAGTCTTTAATTGATGTTCCATGGTCTGCATTTGTTGTTTTGATTTGTCTTGCTTTTTACTTTTTAAATACAGTTTCTTTTTAAGCAA